AATATATGAGATATTACGAGCTCACAAGCCCGTTTCGAAAGGACTTCACTAGATCACTAGATAGCCTGAGCTTAGAATCCGCCAAACCGGTTGTTGTGCTCTGCAGTCTGTCCCAAACCCATGCCAACGTCCAATCCGCTCCAGAAACATGCTAAACCAAGGGACGTCTTCCGAAGTACGTCCCTGCATTTTTCAGCTCCGTACGAAATGATACGAACAGAATCATGGTTAATGTAAAGCATTGTCAAACTTAACTGTCGGTTGTAAGTAGTTGTTCAGGTGTCCTCTAGTTTCTTTTCATACGGGTCTGCGCAAGCACGGGCCAAGGGCCAAAACTAGGACAAAGGAATATTGGACAGCACCCACGTAGTGTCAAGACATGTGTATAAAGACAGGGAGGCAGACAAGGTTAACCAGGCATAGATACGGTAGATGTTAATATATGAGATATTACGAGCTCACATGTGCGCTGACCGGTGTGTGGTGAGGCTGGATTGCTGTCTTGTTGGAATGTGACTTGCATGTGCACGACGAGAGGTGGTGGCCAAAACTTGATCACGGTGTTTTTAGCACCTGTGGCCGTCGCGCTTTCGTGCCAGCATAAGCATACGGCGGTCGAAAACCACCCAGACGGGACGGTCAGGGTGGCAGTTTTTTGCTGCATGAATGAATTTTTGCAGCGTGGTTTGTGGAAGTTGGATCAGCAAGTTTGGGATTGTCCCATGCGGGTTGCATGGCATCTTTCAGAGTCTGGCAGAAAAAAATCGCGGAAAGAACTTGTGTCACGTATTTTTCGGGCAGGTTAATATTGAGTCCCTTGCAGAAGAGGGTGGCCGCCTTAGTCGGGTAGTCGGGTTGAGATGCACACAGTGCAGACGGCCTTCGAGCACCGTCACTCCAGGTCGCAAGATCCACTCCTCCAACGTGATGGCGAACATCGCCAGGAATGCTGTCACTCAGCCACGCTTGGGCAGTGGTCATCAAATCTGCCTGACTCTATTCTTGCCAGGGAGACGAGGGGATCCACACCCACTGCATCAACGCATTGCTCCAGCCGGAAGCTCTCGGAGACTTTCCGCCCACGTCGCTGAACACCCCTACTCGGCCCAACTCCCACGCCGAGGCCGACAACATGGCAGCCGGATGGAAACCCCAACAGCTTCCTCTTAAATGCGGCGGAGGCTCAATAAAGCACTTTAGAAGAGATCCCTGTAGCCCTAGCCACTCGCGGGCCGCGAGCCCGCAGGCAGCGTGCTCCGCTCTGTCAGGTCAGTCGGTTATGTGACCAGACCCTCGAGGTGAGATCGTCGCCTTCCCTCGGACCTTAATTGCACGTTCTCTGCGCCCTCTTCGGCAGGTGCTTAAATCCCAAGAGATGGTCCTGCGACTGCGCGCTCCCATCAAGGCAGGCACATTCTGCGCCCTCTTCGGTTCTTTTCTGTCGAAGGATCTTTCTGTTTGAGGTCTACGGTGACATCCACGGGCAGTTCCTGGACCTGATGCGGCTTTTCGCCAGGCAAAAGCTCTCTTACGGTCACTCGCTTGCGGACCTTGTTTGAATTGGAAGGTATAAAGCCCCATGGGATGGAGAAAATGGTGACATCGCCGGCTGCCCAGAACTTCTTGCCACCTAGATGTCTACCAAAAACCTCCCAGCTCACGGAAGCAAGAAACAGGAGTCGATGGATTATCTCTTCCTTGGCGATTTCGTGGTTGGCTCCTAAGTTACGCAGAAGCCGCCCTAGAGCCGCCGTTTTGCTGTCACTTTCTCTCTCTCTCTCTCTTTCTCTTTCTCTTCTTTGGCTCAGAAGGACCTCCAAACCTGGACCCGAAACAAAGTCGACAAACCCGCATAACCCTTGCAAGCCAGCCCATTCCTTTGCTTCGCTTAGGATCGCGGTGCCTTCTCACTGGAGACCGTTTGCCTCCTCTTCTCTCTGAAGGCGCGGGGCTGAAAGACGCGGCTCACGCCGATGCCTTTGTTTGGAAGCTTCAGAGAGCCAGGTGAAGTATCCCAACCAGATACACTTGATCCGGGGGAACCATGAGGCCACAAGTTGGGAGGGGAATTCGGGAAAGGGGGAGGTTTGCGTGGGTGGACATCGCGCAGTCTCAAATAGGATCTAGTGAAATCCGCAGGACCCGACCATAAATGCGATCTACGGCTTCCGGGACGAGTGTCGGCGCCGCTTGAACGAGGTGCCCTTTTCTCTAAAAAATCCCTTATATGACATCGGCCGGCAGAGCTTTTTGACATCTGCGGCAGGAGCCCGAGGATCCGGAGTCCTGTTGGAACAAGTTCAACCGGGCTGGGCCCTCGGCGACCAAAACCGGGGGCTGGGGCCTTTCCCCACAAAGAAAAACCCTCGCAGTCTTAGAGTCTTAGCGCATGCAGGCCTTCGAATGGCTGCCGGTTGGAGCCGTGATTGAAGATCGGATCCTGTGCCTGCATGGAGGCACCGTGGCCAATCAGAGATCCGCTGATTTACCGCTAAGCCCGCTAAGCTCCTGACCGTGCAGGCATCGGTGGTTCGGTGAACAACGTGGCAGAAGTTCGAACAATGCAAAGGCGGGCCCTGAACGGCGCTTCTTTCGGCGAGTCGGCACTTTTGTTGGCTGAGTGAGGCCCCTGCACGTGGCCCAGATACCTCAGACGCCCTTTGAGCAACGGATTACGGACTTGCTGCACGGAGCCTTAGAGAGGGGGCTTGTTGCAGCTTTGCTATATCACTTCATAGAGGCCTTAATCGGGCCTTCTCGGCTTTGGAACCAGGTGGAGTGATCCATCAGACAATGACTCGGTGCTCTCAGCTTCTTTTTGGGGCCTGGCTTTATTTCTTGAAGGGAGCCTTCTCCTTCATGCGCCCTGAAGTTGGCGCCAGGTTCCGGGAGTGTCTCTCAACGAGACTCGCGACCCCGATGGAACTGGCCGCATTGTGAAGTTCGGCCCTGACAGAGTTGAGGCCTGTGGCACTTTGAAACTTAGACGGCTGACATTCCGAAAGTGTATTTCGCTGTAGAGAGACCCCCCCCTCTTTTTCTGAGCGGCTCCTAGCCCCTTCCAGGAGTTTCTGGAGAAGAACAAGCCTTTGTCGATGATCATCCGAGCACACGAGTGCGTCATGGCTCGGGCCCGAGCTGCAACGGAACGGAACGAAGTCTGAATTAAGGGGGCCTTTAAAGGAAGGAAGGCACTTGGGGGGCGGAAGGGATCCGTTCAGTCCGCTCTGAGGATGGCTTTGAGCGCTTCGCCAACGGAAAGCTGATCACCGTGTTCAGTGCCACGGCACGGGGCCCTGTCAGGCTGAGATCGAGAGGAGTGTGTAACGTTCAGACGACTGTGGAGGATTACTGCGGGCACCACAAGAACGCGGGCGCGCTCCTTTTTGTACGGCGCGACCTGACCGTCGTGCCGAAGCAGGAGACTGAAACATGCCCGGAAGCGTTTCTGGGTGTGGGCCGTGAAACAAGTTAGTTCAGCCTCGGGGGCGTTCCGAGGCTGATCTACCCTGTCGAGCGCCAGCAGATGATGTGGGACCCCGCGGTCATGCAGCAGAGACCTCCTACGCCCCCTCGACCAGCCAGCTGCTGAGAGTCACCACGCATCATGAAGCAGAGTGAGATATTTGTCAGATACAGCTGCGTGGTTCTCTACAGAGTGATGTACGGATGCGGATGTGCGAGACTTGCGAGACTCTGACAGAGCTGAGAGAATCGTGGGCGAAATTGCGGTAGAGAGAACCCCCACACGAGTGAAGTAAGAGCGGAATAGGTAGAGCGCCTTCGTACGCATTCGTCGTCCCTCCGAGGTGCCAAGGGCAAGGAAACTTGGCGAGGATGAGTCGCTCCGGCACGTCTTTGGCGGGATCCAGAGGAAGGGCACAGGGCACTCTCTCTCTCTCTCTCTCTGTGTCTGGCATTCTGTGGCCTTTGTTTGCGCCAGGCCTGGCATAGATTGGTGAGGGGAGCTCTCCCAAGTATATCCCGTAAAATAGTGGTCTTAAAAACCGATCGACGCGTGCGGAAAGCACACATAGCTTTAATGCAGATGCGCACTGGTGTCTCAGAACCTCCCCAACTGAACCGAGCCTAGGGGGACTTCAGCACGCGGCCGTCACCACCACTGTAAGGAGTTCCAATGGAGCGAGGATATGTTTGCTACTTTTTGTTCTTTTGGAATGTTGCTGATTTGGTTTGCTTATCGCGTGGGCTTGGAACATTACCCGATGGTCCTGCGTAACTACTTTCTGCACGGTGTTATCTTTGTGTTGTTTTTTGTGTGCTTTTGGTTTGTGGGCTTCCCCAAGCCTCTTCAACCGATTCAATCAAGCTTTGACAGGATTCTGACGGATTACAATGGATTTCCATGGGTTGTTGATGAAACTCAACGGTTCTTGACAGTTTTTGCATAGGATCGTGCTGTCATTCTTTATTGTCAGCAAACCATACAATCCGCTACTGTGACAACACCTTGCATGTTCCTTGCGGAAAAACATTGTCAAGCCATACGATATCTGGCATGTTTGTGGGTGCAGCGTCACCTTGCGGAAACGTACTGTCAACCCATACAAGTTCGTACAATCCATCACTGTGATAACATCTTGCATGTGCAGGAACGTGTTGTCAACCCATACAATCCACTACTGTGCTAAGTAGTAAACATAATCACAAAGAATAGTAGGTGCACCAGTAGTAAAAGTAGCATTGTTCGCACAAAGAATATTACTTAACACGTCAATATAAGGCGGTCAAACTCGTACTAGACTAGTAACAACAGTAGGAGATAGTAATCGTAAAATTCATACGCGCGGAGCCAAATGCACTAACAATAATAACAGCAATAACGTAATGACAATAGTAATACGAATACGTTAAGTATGAACAGTTCATGCCCATAGAAGTCACAATATCATAAAAAGAACGACAGCAGTAAGCATTGCCGTACCAGTAACAATAATAGCACAAGCAACAATAGAAGTAAGCATGCCAATGGTACTAGTAGTAGTAGTAGTAGTAGTAGTAGTAGTCGCCTCCNNCCCCCCCCCCCCCCCACCCTACCAACGACCGCTCGTTGACACTCTTCTTGATGGGTGGGCGGCTGGGGAGGGGGAGACTAAACAACATGGCAGCTCAAACCGTTATTTTGCCGCATTTCTAGCGTGCGCGTAGAGTACGTGAGTCAGCCATGGCCAGCAAGAACTGGAAGCGCCCAAGCTATGATGTTGACGATGATGTTTGTTCATTTGTTCCTTGCGCATTCTACAGTTAAGTGCTTCGACCCATTGTGCTCGCGCGTATTAGGTAAGTTTTCATCCGTACTTTTCCCTCTTTGCCCAACGGTTGAAGCGACAGGTCGTTGGTAGGGAGCGGGGGGTGGCTAGTAGTCGTAGTAGT